TCTCCCATAGGGAACACCCTGTGCTTTAGGTAGTGTAGCAGCCCCCGAAGGAGGGCCATAGGGAGAAGATCCACTCATGAAGTCTTAGTTCCTGGCAGAGTTGAGCTAGGGTGGTTTTTAGGGTTCCGTTCATGCATTCCACTTCCCTGAGCTTGCTGATGTGTAGGTGGTTTGTAACTTTATTTGATTTCCAGGATTTTGGCAAGAATCTAGATGATTTCTGCAACAAAGGTCAGTCCATTGTCTGACCCGATGGACCGAGGCAGGCTGTATCTACAGATGATGTCCTTTAATAGGGTTTTGATCACCTCTCAGGCCTGCCCTACCTGAATGGGGAATGGCATTTGTCCATCCAGAGTAGGTGGATGCCAGTACTAACAGGTATTGATATCCTCTGCTTGGCTTAACCTCTGTGAAGACAACTTCTATATCTTCAATAGGTGGAGTTCTACTGGCCTGGACTTCTGGGCACTGAGCTGGTCATTGGTGGGCATTATTTTTGGCATATGTCACACACCTCTGGCTGATTTGGTTTCATAGAGGGTTTGGCTATATAGTACTAACTACCAAGCAGAGTGCCCAATTTGGTTTTTCCTAGGAGACCCATTTCATGGTATTGGAGCACCACTTGGCATCCCAGGCTTTTTGAAATAAAGATCTGGTGGTCTGGCAGTATCCACCATGCATCAGTTGTTCCTTGACCTCCTTCCATGGTGGCCCATTCTTTTCTTCTTTGGCATACTTAAGGCACCCTGGGAGGTTGGTGGCCCACAGTATTTGGGTGGCCTGGTCCGCACTGGGGTGATGTCTTAACATCAGACAGCTTCTTTGCTGTCTGTTTGGCCATTCTGCTTACTTGGCTCACGGGGTCGGTCCCCTTCCATGCCCTTGGCAGTGCATTACCACCACCTGCATCAGTTTCCAGATTGCCTCTAGGAGTCTGAGTGTTTCTTCTTTGTTTTATTTTTTTTTAACTCCTGGTGACAAATGTCCTCTTTCTCTATAGATGGTCCCATGCCCACGCAATGTGGCAAAGGCATCGTTAGAGTCAGTATAAATACAGACCCCATTGGTTTGTGGTGAACTCTCAGGCCCACAATTCTGCCCATTGGGCTGACCACCGAGGCAGTGTTCCTGCTTTCACCACACGTCTCTCCATGGTCACTGTTGTACCTGGTCATTCTTCATCAATCCTGTGTGAAACCTGTGTGAAACAATACCTGTCTGTGAGCAGAGTGAGATCTGGGTTTTGGAGGGGCTGGTCAGTCAGTCAGGTCAGGCCGACTGGACTATACATCATCTACCAGGCTTTTGCAGTCATGATCAGGGGTCCCAGTTCAGCTGGCAGAAAGGAGGCAGGGTTTAGGGTGCATACAGTTTCCAATTTTATTCAAGGATTTTTGAGGAACAGTCCTCGATAGTGGGACATTCAGGCACTGGTTAGCCATTGGTGTTCCTTGCTGTCCATTAGGGCAGTCATAGCATGGGGAACCTTCACACTGATGTTTTGTCCTAGAGTCAGCTTGTCAACCTCCTGGACTAAGACCCCGGTGGCTGCCAGATCTTTGGGCATGGTCATCCTGCTGCCACCAGGTCTAGTTATTTTGATAAGTAAGCCACTAGCCACTGCCAGAGAAGGACCTCCCCAGGGGTGAGGACCGCAACAGCAGTCCTGTTTTTCTCAGTCACAGGCAGCTGGAAGTCCAGTGCCATGGTTAGTTATCATTTAATCTCCTGGAAAGCATGTTCCTGTTTGGTTCCCCAGTATAGGGGGCCATTTTCTGACTCTCTAATAGCTTCATATAGCAGCTGAGCTAGCACTGATACCAAGGAATCCATATTCCAACAGTTCCTGGTGTTGGGCCTGCGGTAGTACAGACAGCCCGCTTCCATTGAGGATTGGTGACCCCGTGTGATGTTGAACCCAAGCTATTTTTCCTGTTGTTGGCAGACTTGGGCCTTTTCCCAGGAGACTCTGTATCTGGCCTCTGAGAGGAAGGCTAGTAGGGCTCTGCTTCTGGCCCAGCAGGCCTCCTGATGTGGGCTGGCTGAGAAGTCATCTATATACTGGAGGAGAGTAGAGTTTAGATAGTCCCCAGGAAAGGCAGCCAAATCACTGCCTCGTGTCTTTCCAAACAGGATGGGGAGTTTTTGAAGCCCTGGGGCATGGATTCCAGGTTAGTTGAGTCTTCTACCCAGTTTCAGGGTATTCCCATTCAAATGCAAAGAAGGGCTGACTGGTTGGCGTCCATGGGAGACATAAGAAGGCATCCTTTAGGTCCAGGCAAGTGGACTACTTCGCTTGGGGTGGGACTAGGCTGAGGAGAGTGTAGGTGTTCGGAACCACCAGGTGGAGAAGGACCACAGCCTTGTTAACTGCCTGGAGGTCTTGAACAGTCCATAATCCTTACTGTTGGGGTTTTCACACTGTAAAGTGGGGGAGTGTTCCAGAGAGAATGGCGTTCAATCAGGGTCCCAGCGTCAGAGACACCCGGAGATGTCCCCTTATCCCATAATCCCTCAAAAAGAGATATTGTCTCAGTCTGATGGGCTCTGCTCCTGGCTTCAGGTCAATTACTAATGGGGGCAAGTTCTTGGCCATCCCAGGTGGATTTTCCTCTGCTCAGATCATAGGAAACTCTTGGAGCAGAAAGGAAGGGTTCTCAATGGTGGCATGATTTTGATCATAGAATCTCCATTCATCCCCTTGAGGCAGTGTCACCACCATGATAATGGTGACTTCTTTTCCCAGGATTAGGTAGGTGGGACCATCAGGGGTGAAAGTGATCTGTGCTCCTAGCTTTGAGAGGAGATCACTTCCTGGGAGGGGAACTGGGCAATCTGGCAAGTACAGGAACTTGTGTGATACCAAATGTCCTCCTGAGTTTACAGATGTGGGATTTGCAGAAAGTTCTGGCTGCCAGTGAGCCAGTTGCTCTTATTATGGTAACCTCTTTACCAGATGGGCCAAGTGACCACAGAATGTTCAGTGCCTATATCAACCATGAATGTCACTGGGTGGCCTCCAACTGTCATTTCAACTCTGAGCTCCTGGGAGCCAAGAATCATTGATCCCAGTCCTCCCTATTCTGAGTCCATCCAAGCCAAACCAATTAGGCTGCTGGAGACAGGCTCTACTTGATATTGGCCTTCCTGATTTAGCGGTTGGTTTTTCTGAGTGGGCTGAGCCTTTTTGCAATTTGGGCACTCATTTTTCCAATGGCCTAGTTCCTTGTAGTAAGCCCATTAGTCATTCAGGAATGGGGGTCAGCTTCCAGGAGTATGGTTCTTGTGAGGTGGTCCAGAGCATCTGGTGGAGTCTGGACATCCAAGTGCTGCCAGTAAGAGGGACACCTTCTGTTTCATGTGCTTGTCTGCCTCCCTTTTTCTGTTTTGATCCTGGCTGACAAAGACCTTGTTGGTCACCTTGAGTAACTTGGAAGCATTCCTGCCTGCAAATCCCTCCAAATTCTGAAGTTTCTTTCTTGGATCTGGGCTGGATTGGACTACATAGGTGGCATTGACCATGTGTTCATTCTCAGGGGCTTCTGGGCCAAACAGAATGAAGATTTAAAAGGTTTCACGTAGCCTTTGGTAGAACTTCTCGGGAGACTCTTCTGGATTCTGAAGTACCATGATTGTTTAAACATGTGGGTAGGTTTCTTAGCACCTGAATGGACTCCTTGAAGGAGGGCAGTTTGGTATGATTCTAGTTGATTATATTTTTCTTCAGAGTTATGGTCCCATGTTCTCATCTGGAGCTTCTTTTCTTGCCCAAGCTTGGGTGTCAACCTCTTGTACAGAGACTTGTTCCTGGAACCATTTTTGCTCTGCTGTCAGGATGTGTCCTTGGTATTGAAGAGGGTGAAGAGGAGCTGGTGGCAGTCTCCCCAAGTCTATCAATGGTTTCGAAGGTGGACTCTAGGAGACCTGTTAGTGCTTGGGGCTTTTCTGATTAAGGGGGGTATGGTGTTTCCCATTCAGGAAGTCAATAGTGCCCACAGGCTGATAGTAGAAAACAGAACACCCTTCCTGGATGGTGCCATCCTGATTGACCCTTGATGATGGCAAGTCTCATGTAGGGGTAGTTGGAGGGATTGTGGCTGCCAGACAGACCTGAGTTGTCTTTCCGTAGGTTCTAGATGGTGGTCTTCTAGTGGAAAGGGGGCTGCAGTCAGTAAGACAGATGCTGTTATGGTATCAGGCATTGAGGCTGGTGGTCTGGGAGCTGGAAGCACAGCGGTGAGGGGACAGCAGCTTTTCTGGATATGGGGGTCCCCTTGATGGGCTTGATGGGTTTTGGAGTCTCAGTCTTTCTGGAAAATAAGACATATACTGGCCCTTGGAGTTAAAACATAATTGCACCCATGGGGACAGAGCCTGGGTACTCCGAAGCCAGAAAGATCTGAGTGGCCTGCATCTCCAGGGACAACAGAGAAAAACTGCCTTGTTGGTGGGGACATGGAGGAAGGCCAATTGACACCAAAAGCAGGCCACTAGAGTCCACAGAGAATACAGAGTCAGCCCTTGATCAACTGAATTCCATAATAACCCTTCTTGAAAATTTTAATCATACAGTCTAAAACTGTAGGCTTAGCATGGGTTTCCCCCCGTGCTAGTATCACAAAACAGAGACGAGAGGTTCACTCAAGGAGTCTTCCTGGCTACATTCCTGAAGGGAGCTTGGGTACTCTTTGGCTAAAGATGTACCTGTTTAAACCCAGAGCCTGGTCAGAGTTCCTATTATAGGATGCAGATCTCTGTTATACCATACAAGTCACCATGGAAACAGGTTAGGAGTCACTCAGACTCCATAGCACAAAGCCACAAATAGTTTCACAATCACTCATACATTCACATAAGATTTTAAAACAATGCCTTTGCCCTTTGAGAATCCTCTATACTGATGGCACCTTCACAGGTAGCCATAGGAAGTGATCAATCTCCCCTTCTGTCCATATGGACAGGCCTGGCTAAGGTCTTGGGCCCCAGGAACTTACCTTTATCCTGATGACTGTGTAGGAGTTGGTCTGACTCTCCAGGGAGTCTGGGTGATGGTTGCCACAACAGAGACACAGGTCCCCTAGGTGAAGGAGATCCTGGAACTATCGGATGATGCCATCTAATTGGATCTGAGGTGCACCACACACTCCTTTCCAAGCAGCCTGCCAAAGCAATGGCTCATAGGGCCTCCATGGTTTTTACTTCATGGTCATGGAACCAAAATGTTACAGGAAGCAGACTGATGGGGAAGCACCAAGGCACCCTTGGAGAGTGGGAGAACTCAGGTTTATTATGCTGGAAGGCCCAGAGGAGTCTTTATTCTGAAGTTTGAGTCTGATCCAGTTACTTACAACATTTATAGGCCATTTGGGGGTCATCTCAAACCTGTTCTGTTATTGGGGTGTTTAAAAATTTTCTAGTCTATGTGACTGAAGGCCTTGCACAGGGATCTCTAGAAGGGAGCATGTTTACAGAAGCAGAATAAGGAGAAATGGCCTTTTCTATAGGCAGTGGTTTTTCAAGATAAGGTTCTTGTAACTTTCTCATCTGGGTCTGCCTTTGTTACCTCAATATAGTTATTCTAGAAATGGGCAATTGAGTAATGCTTTATTTGGGTGTATTTTATTAAAGTAGATTGGCCCACATGAAAACTCTGTTAACATTTCTTCATTCTTTTGTGCATTCTTGATTTATTAGCAATTGAGGCATTTAATAATATTAAAGGTATTGTCTTTGGTTGCAACTCTTTTTGAAGATATAGAGATGAAATTAAGAATCTGAAATGTTTTATGCTGTTAAAAAAAGAATGAAATATAAATTTACTTTTTGGATATGTAATCAAGAGTATATTACAAAGTCCTAGAATATTTTGTGGTTTGCCTATCCTGAGTATCAAAATAGCTGGGCTCTGACTTCTCAGATACTCTCGTCTCTGCATCTAAGTATTTACTTACTTATTTTTCTCTTATTATTCCTTTCCCAATCTAACTCTAACTGAAGACTGGCTCTCTCTCCAAGACTCCTTCCTCAGAGCATTGTCCTTCTCACCTCTCATCACTGTGACCCCGAAGGCAGGGTAGGTATCCTCCTTGTGTCCTGTAGCTGGCTTCAGATTACTGCCTTCCCCACCCTCCCTGAGTCCCTTAGCTTTAAGACCTGTGACATCTGAACATCTCACTCTTATCTCTCTCAGTGCATTTGTAGAACCTTGGCTCATTTTCTCTCATTCTTTAAAGAATTTAGTCCCAGTTTCACTATCATTCTCTTATATACTGCAGCTGCACAATTCTTGATTACTGTAATAATCAGGTTCCAATAACCTGCCTATTTATTGATTAATCAAATATTTGCTGGATGCCTAAAATGTATAAAGCACAGTTCCAGGAGTATAAGCTATAGCATTAAAATAAAAAAAATAAAATTGCTGCTTTTAAAGAGATTACATCCCAATGGAGAGGACAGACAACCACAAAATGAAACCATAAAAGTAAAATATATAGTATTTCTGATCGTAAATACTAATAAAAAGAAATAAATCCAAGAACATAGGAATGTAATGTGAACATAGTGTGTGTGCACATGGGGTGTGTATGTGCATATGGGGTGTGTGCGTGTGGGGTGTGTGTGTGTGTGTGTGTGTGTGTGTGTGTGTTTGGGTGGGAGTGGTTAGGAGTTTGAAATTTGAAGAAAGAGTGGCCAGAGGTGACTTCTTTTTTTTTTATTAGTTGTTCAAGACAATACAATGATCTTGACGTATCATACATTTAATTCAAATGGGGTATGAATTCTCATTTTTCCACATGTACAGATTGCAGGATCACTGTTCAGAGGTGACTTCTAACTAAAGACATGAGATACCTGCAAGTACCAAGTCATTTTCATTCCTGAATCTTCTATCTTCTCTTCTTCACCAGTCTCATCCTATAGACTATGTTAGCCATGTGCTCCCTTGACATACCCTAGAGCCTCCTGATTCCAAGAAACAAGCCCTTCTCCTCTGTCTCATTCTTGCCACTCTGCTCACCACTCCTTCACCCTCAATCCTCACCCTCAGGTAATCCAGTTCAAACACTCTTCCATCCGCCCGGGGTTTATTATTGGTTAGTTGTCTTACCAACATCTTATTATTTCTCATTCCCCTTGAGTATTCACTTCCCCACTTAAATAATTGTTATTTACAGTCCATCATTAAAATCACTTCCTTGTAGATAGTATATACACTTAACTACCTTGCCTACTCCCTTCATGGTTCCCACTTGGCAGAAACCCAATCTTAATTAAACCACTCAGTCTTGCATCTCAAGAGCTAAATGTAATAATTACTTCTTACATTTTCCAATGTCCTTAAACCTCTAGTAGTTTCTAAGGCTGCTTTAATCTCAGTAGAGGATTTATCTCCTATATTACTGAGAATCTCAATTTCTGTACAGTCCCAATAAAACATTTACCAACAAACCCATAACAAGAAAATATGCTATGCCATGTCTCTTTTCAGCAAGAAAAAATGACCCATGATTTTCTTTAGAATAAACTCCTGTTTTTTTCAGGGAGAAACCTGTCTGAAGTTAAGGTAAGTGGAACATCAAAGTCATTTTGATCTATATGCAAGCAATCATACATACATCTATGCAGTTCACTTCTTGAAGGTCTCTTCTCAAAGGTCATATGACTAGAGAATTTCCTTGATGCTCCCACATGAAACTTCAGTGTCCCTCAACAGTGTCCCACACACCACACACATGCACCCGTAGCCCATTTTATCACTCCTAGAGTTCATGGCATTTAAAACTGACACAATCAGATATGTAACACACTTATTCATGTGTTTCTTATTTCTCTGCTTGTCTCTGAACTTCAAAAAGACAGGTGCTATTTTTTGTCTACTGCTAATTCCCCAGTACCTGAAAGTGTCTGTTGAATAGTAGCTATTCCATAATTGTTTTTTGAGAATAAATGAATGAAACACCAGCCTCTTTCTGGTAATTAAATATAACTTACTTGAGTCCATAAGTTCCAACTTCTGCAATAGAAACACTTGTGAATTTGATGGAAACTGGATTATTTCTATAGAAAAATACTCAGAATGACACCCTTTCTTAATTCTTGCTTATGGTTTCAGAGAATATTATTGACCTCACAAGATCCTAAGAAATCATGAAACTCTAGGATCTCACAGGGAAACTGCTCCATTCTGGAGCATATTTATAAATGTTGAAACATGTGATAATGACCTTTATATGTGTTATCTCAGTTCTCTAAATTAAAATATTTTCAGTAGAGGTAAGTTTTGTATTAAATCAGTGAGGATGATTGCCACAAATACGAAATATGGAGTTCAAAATGTTTCAACATTGCAGAAGTTGGAACTTATGAAGTCAAGTAAATTATATTTAATTACCAGAAAGAGCCTGGTGTTTCATTCATTTATTCTCAATAAACAATTATGGAATAACCACTGATCCTGCAATCTATACATGTGGAAAAATGAGAATTCATACCCCATTTGAATCAAATGTATGATACGTCAAGATCATTGTATTGTCTTGAACAACTAATAAAAAAAAAA